GCTCCCGCAGCCCACACTCCTGCTTGCCTCTTCGTGTCGCAGATGACGTCATCCTGCAAGCTGCTGCCACAGCCACCAGGCAATCGGGTCCTCAGGTAAAAGATCGGTTGTCAAACTAAGAAACTCATTTTCCACACAAGAGCCAGAGTGAGCGTGTTGAAAAGCAAATCTGATAGTATCACCCCAACCTCCGTGACCTCTCCAACCCCACCCTGTTTGAAGCGCTTGAGGGATTCCCGAGGCCTTTGAGATGAGGATTAAATCCTTTACAGAACTTGGAAGGCCCTACGGGGGCTGTCCCCTCTCCAAGTGCGCAGGACACTCACTGTGCTCAGCCTTTTTCTGTTCCTTTTGAAGGCAGTCTCGCCCATGCTTTGGCACTAGCAGCCCAGAGCTCACTGAGACTGCAGGAGTGCTTGCTTCCGGTCCCCCTCGGCCAGCCGAGAGGGGGCTCCCCTCAGCCGGTGCTTAGATAGACCCTCATCAAGCCCATAGCACTCCTTCCTGCATTTGTCACGGCTGTAGGTTAATGTGTATTTTGTTACGTGTTTGATTAAGGACTGGTTTTTCAACAGACTAGAGCTGAGGAAGGCACACACTCTACCTGATTTTCCTTCAGACTGTGTTTCCAGTTTCTAGAAGAGCCCCTAGCACACGGCTAGTACCCAAGACTGAGGATTGAAGGCAGAAACTCTTACGCATAAAATCCAAACTGCCTTCCAGGCTTTGGCTATTTGTGAAGAGCCCTCAAGAGCCATGATGTCATGAGCTGTGTCCTTGCCAAGGTTCTGTGACGCTCCAGTGAGGGACGAGCAGCTGCTCCTCCCTGCGCCAGTTGCCACGTCTTACAGAGTAATTCCTAAGAACTTAAAACAGTCTGTTCACCATGAAAAATAATAACACCCCCCTCCAAAAGCAACAACTGCGAGTGCTGGTGTCTCAATAATAGCAAGTGAAGTAATCTAATACTTTCCTCTGTCACAGGGGAGATATGCTATGGGCATATTCATGACTTTGAAGGTTCTTCCTAGCCAACATCTACGGAAATCTGACGATGGGTGAGACTGCGTGCTGGTGGTGCTCATGTGTGTTTTCTCATTGAATCTTCTCAACAGATCTCCTTTTATCCTCCTTTTAGAGGTGAAGAAACAGAGATTCAGAGATGACAAGTGATTCACCCAAGGTCACACAGCTAGTAATGGCGGAGAGTAGACTTGAAGCCACATGATCTAACTAATTCCAGAGCCTGCACTCTTGACCATTACTGTTACCACCTCTCCCAGAGAGGTCCAGGGCACATGCTCACCAGATATCAAGGGAGTGCTGTTCTCCTAGACTAAGTACCTCTTTTCATAGAGGAATAGTTGCCCCTTAGTCGGACTCTTTGGGTTTGAGTTAAGATTTAACTACTGAGAGAGCTAAATAGCCTTTCTTTATTTTCTTCCCTTTCCAAACATTTTCAATTGTGACTCATTTCTAAGATACAGATTGATCATCTGTCTCTCTCCCAGGTTGATGAATGTTCAATGGCTTCTCTCTGCTTGAAAGAATATGATGAACCACTTAGCCTGTCACACAAGGGCCCGTGAGCAGGCCCACGCTCCGTCCTCTCTCAGCACCCACTACATCCTTCAATTAGGACTCCTAAGCAGACCGCAAGCCAAAGACTTGCCTGCTTTCCTGCCTGAAATGGGATCCTGTCATCTTGAAATCCTACTCATCCACCCTAGCCAGGTCAACGTGAGGGACAAATCCTCTATAGAATGCCAACAAATATTACTATCATTTTAAAATAATTCTGAATTTTATTAAGTTCCATAATATTCAACTAAACCTGAGAGGAAGAATTAATTGAAAAAGACCTCAGCCTTTTGCCAACATGGGGTTGATATGGTTTTCAACAGTAGGTTCAAATTCAATTTCAAATTAAGAAAGCATATTTCACATCACCTCTAGTGAGTTCCTTTTTCCCTCGACAATTCTAAACCTAACAGAAGGCCTTTCTGGCAATTTTCTCAAAGTGTAACAAATTCGACTTTGTATATCATCTCTTCCTGTTTAATTATAAGGATTTGAATTTGCAGCCCCAATTAATCAGTAATTAGATAGTACTGAACCAAAAGAAATTAAACAAAGATAAAAACAAAAACACAACTCAGCACAAGACCATACCATATCGTCTGGTAACATTTCATGTAGCGTGATAAAATACTCCCAGAGAGATACAGGTTAAGTGAATCAGTAACAACGTATTCTTTGGATTTTTTTGTTGTTATTGTTGTCAGTAACCCCCGATGCCAGTGGGAAACTCAGAGGAAATCCAAAAACAAAAACGCTCTGATCATACTAATGTTTATCACTCTTTTCACTCTTGATCAGAAATCCAGTTTATGACACTCAATAATTGTTTTGAAATGTAGTGGTAGACTTTGGCAATGCGAAACAAATGCATATTTTATAATGATAGGTTCTCTGTTGATCTTCATATTTAAAAAATACACAGATCAGCTTTTGAGTTTTCGGCCGGACCTCTAAATCAGAATGTTCACCTTAGATGTGAAAAAAAATCCAAAAAGATACAAAGCAGATTGAGGAAGGAAAAATAAAGGTTCCTGAAACCAAGATGTAAGTGGGGGGAAAGGCTTGACTGTATAGCAAGCCCCAGAGGGGCAAGGGGACTTCTCCCTGTAGACATGCCATTTCCCTGTGCCAAGCTCATACCACTTATCCTCGTTCTCCGTCCTCTGGTTACTAAGAGAAAGAGAAGATTGACGGTTGGAAGAAGTCCCAGTCTTGAGAGGACAGAGCAGGCTGCTGGTGTGTGCCCCCTACTGGCATGGAATGATCCTGACAGTTGGGCTCTGGGGAGGGCAGACCGGCAGAGGTCTAGAGAGTAAATTGTAGAGCAAACCTTTCTCCTTCAAGGCCGCCCATTACTCCTTCCCCCTGTGACTACATAGGGAGAGGGAGCCACAAAACACTCAACATTACCTTCAGGCGCTTCGAGTTCTTTCTCTGGTGCTGTTTCAGGCAGCTCTGTTTCTGTAAGACATTGGCATCAGCTCGACTCCCAAGTATGAGGCTCCTGTAAATTATGGATATTGCAAATCTTTTAATTGTGTGCCACTTGAATGAGGATTTTTTCCCCGAAGTGTATGAGACGGTCTTAAAAACTCCTGCAAAGTGAATTTCACTGTTTCTAGAAGCATTTGATTGCCATTCTGAAAAAAAGTAATTTGTCTTTTGATAGAACAGTTTGCCAAGAAAGAGGGTAAGGTGCTTTGAGAAGAACTGTAGGAGGAAATTTGAAAGATTCTCATCTTTTGGCACCTAGGATTTAAAGAGTAAGCTTTGTTTAGTAATTTAGTGTCACCGTGAACATTGGAGGGCCAAATTGTAATAGTTTTTATGACTTTGTGGTGAAATTACTTAGGCAGCCCCCCAGCTTTGGGGACACTTTGATTTTTCTCCAATTTAGGAATCTCTTTTCCCAGTGTATTGTGAAGTGATGCTATAGAGTCTCAATCTCTCAGAGTTCATCGTTTTTATAAATTATACGGCACCCCTCGAATGAAAGCCGTGTTTGTCAGTGTGACATTCGTTGGTCAGTATGGTTTATTAATCCTCTGTTGTACTTCTTCAACTGTTTCCTAATTTGAAAATAGAAAATGTTCATCTCTCAGGAGGTGGTACAATGTATCTGACGTCTATGTACTACGTAAGTTTTTGCCTCTTGATATTAACTTCTTTATTGAAATAAGCTCCAATAAGCTGACTCCAGTTCATGATGGTCATTCTCTTATGAACCTTCACTCGGGGTTAACTGGCCAAAATTCATGAACCAGAGTAACCTCTCCATCCCAATGAATGATTACCAATGGCTCTTCACTGTAACAACCTGGTAACTACTCCTGTGACCCATCCTTCTTCTAGGGAGAGTATAGTAAAGCAGAGCACTGGAGTTTAAATACCTCTAGTTGCCTTTCTCCTCCACACTCTCCTATTTCATTAAATGGCTCTAGTGAATGCTCAAGTCAGCACACGGGAACCACCCTGGATTGTTCCCTTTTGCTCATTTCCCACACTCGGTGCATGACCAGTCCTGCCCAGATTACCTGCCACTGCCCCCACCCTGGTCTAAGCCACTATTTCCTCTGGTTTCAATTCCTAGCAATTTTCTCCTAACTGGCCTCCCTCCTAGTGTGCCTTCTCTAAAATCCTCTCTTCATATAGCAGCTCTGGTAATTATTTTTAATCATATTGTGTCACTAGGCCTGTTCAACACCTTCCAGTGACTTCCCATCCCACTTAGAATAAAATTGAAATAGCTCCCATGGCCACAGGACTCCACATAACCACCTCTGCACCCCTCTCCCCTTCTCACCCATAGTAGGTGGTTCTTCAAACATCCAGTGCTCATTCCTGCCACTTCACCTTTACACAGCTGTCCCTTCTGCTCGGAGGGCATTTCCCTACCTCCTTAGGACTGACCTCCCCCTTCACACTTCACCTCAGGTGTCATCTCCTCAGAGAAACCTTTCCTGACCCCCTTGAGTGCAGCCACCTTCCATCATGGTCATGTCAACCTGTTTATACCCTTCATAGCATTTGTTACTATCAGAAATTATTCTGGTCCCTTTTGTTTGTTTACTGATAATTGTGTTTTCCCCCACCGGCCTCTTCTGTTGTTCACCATGCATCACCAGTGCCTAGGTCTAACCTATAGTACACTCTCAATAAACACTTGTTAGATGAATATCCAATGAATGAATCCTTCTCTTCCTCATGCTATAGGATTTGGACTGGATTGCTTAACCTCTGGACCTCAACTTCCTGATCTGTACAGTAAAGCTAACAAAACTTTGGATTTTCATGAGGATAAGTTAAAGGAGCAAATGTGTATAGTAGCATGTGATACATGGTACGTGTGGGGTACATGGACCATGTAGGCACAGAGTAAGCACGGGTAACAGTGTCCCCCTCCCCACCCTGTTTGACAGGAAATCTTCAGAGGAACTGGACATGGACAAGGTGACAGCAGCAATGGTACTAACCAGCTTGTCCACCAGCCCTTTGGTTCGAAGCCCTCCTGTGCGGCCAAATGGTAAGCCTGGGGTATGGGGCATAGGGAAGGGTCCCTGACACCAAGAGCAGAGCCTCTCTTTGAGGGCCCTCATTCCTATCAAACACAATAAACAATTAACTGCCACCCATAGCAGAAAGCAAAGGGAAATATGTGTAGAAGAAATGGAGACCTCACAGCTATCAGCCTCCTCCTGATCTCCCCAGAGACCTCACAGCATTTCATCCATCCATCCATCCATCCATCCATCCAACCCACATTTACTGAGCTCCATCACCTGTCCAGAACACATCTTTCAGTGCCTGGGTTCCTTTTTCCCTATTTAAATAGAGATTGGTCTAATGAAGTATTTTCACCAGCATTATTTCTGTTCAATTGGACAAGTAGTTGGATCAAAGAACTCTGAATATGAAATATTTTGAAAAGGTTTTGTCCCAATGGAATAATATTAATCAAATAGAAGTATGTAGTCCGTTCACTTATTCAATATGTATTTACTAGATGCCATGCTAGATGGTTTAAATACATCATTGAAAACAGTATTCATACTCAATCATTCATATTTTACAATTCCTTTGGGGGGGAACAAGTATCCATCATATTAATGGCTGGCATTTATTAAGCACTTACTATGTGCCAAGCAAGTACTAAGCTTGCTTTTTATCATGTAATTCTCATAACAACTCTATGAGACATTATTATCACTATTTTACAGATGAGCAAACTGAAGCACATGAGAATTAGCTGATTGTAAATAGCAGAGCTGAAATTCTATTCTGTATCTTTCCAATTTCAGATCTGCTTAGTTGTGATATAATATTGACACATACAATTCAGTGTGATGATAATAGTGACACATATAATTCAGTGTGATAAATCAAGAGGGAAATGAATTTGGAAAGCATGACCTAAGGTCTATCAAGAGAAGCTATGTATTCCTGGCTAGGAGTCTGGACATTAATCTGAGGCTATAGGATAGCTGTGAAGTGATAGGCACTGGAAAGTTATGATTGGATTTACAGGCAAAAACAAAAAACGGAACTATATGAGCGTCTTGGGCTTTGGTGGTCACAACAGGGAGGAATAGGACATAAATGAGTCATGTGAAGAAGGTAAAGTCAATAGGACTGGGTGATGGACAGAGAGGAGGAAGGACAGGGAGCGGTGAGGGTGGCTTTCAGGCAGTCAGTGTGCTTCCAGAGGAGGCCCACTCCCCAAGACAGAACAGAGCAGAGAGATAAATATACGGGTAAATGTTTGGGGAAGACATGGGGTTTCTGAAGAATATGCTAAGTCTGGTTTGAAACATGTTTAGTAGTCAGAACTTGAGGATTTTTCAAGGGTCTATGTCTGGTGGAGGTTTGGGTGCAACCTGGGAGAGAGACATGAGCTTCCCGTGTGGAACTGTGAAGCCTTACCAAGAGATGAGATCGCCTCGAGGGAGTTGTGTAAAAAGAGTGTAAAGAGAGGATGGCTAAGGGGGATGGTAAGGCCCTTCATCCTGTGAGGGACCAGCAGAGGGAAAAGAGCTGATGGGAGCCTGATGAGTTACCACGAAGGTAGAGGGGAAGCAGGAGAGTGTGGTTTCATGCAAGCCAAGGGAAAAGCGTGTTTCAAGGAGAGACTCCGATGCTACATAAGGTCAACCATGAGAAGGACTAAATTTTGCATCAAGTAGAAGGTCACTGGCGGTTCTGGCAGGAGCATTCACAGTGGACAACCCCTGGCCAGAAGCCAAACTGAACTTCAGACTCCAGGTCGCTGAAATGTATGGCAGTGAGACCACTGAATGAAGCTTTCCAGCAAGGGAAGACCTTGTCTTAAAAGCCGGCCTAGTCAGTCAAGGGACTGAGCTACGGTTCACACATCATTTGGTTTTAAGCAGGGGGTGTCAAAATAAATATGGTGAACATCCAGTGAGTCCTCACCAGAACTTAATTTCAGTCCGACTGGGGTACAAGGTGCTCTTGGAATGAGCCTTACCACTCCTGTTGAATGACCTGCTCAGGGCTCGTTGGCAAGCAGGTGTCCTGACTTCCCTTTCTCGGCTTGGCCATACCACTGAAGAAAGATTACATGAAAGCAAAACTGAAGCCACCCCCAAAAGTAATCATAGGAAAAAGGAATTGCAGAATTTCATGGAATCCTCAGAGGAGAAAAAGCATTATTTTAATGCATTCATCATTTTTACCACTGCATTCTTTTTTAATTGAGAACATCTTTAATGTTCCTTTGTGTTAAAAGGTTAGATTCAAAATAAACTCTTCACTTCTTCAATGAAAACTTTTGTTAGCATAGTTATAATGAAAGTAATTCAGTGTTCATTATGATTTTTGAAATTACGACTCAACTAAGAATCCCAAATTGTCTATTATCTCTCATTAAGTCTACAACAGGAAGCAAATTCTTAAAAAGGAAGAGCAGTTTATGATAAGGAAGGAATTATTAAATTTTTTTAGAAATAAAGATTAAATCCAGAATTACTGTATATCAGTGTTGATCCTTTTCCGTGTTTGAGAAGGATCATTTTGTCAGCATGTGGGTCTGCAAAGAGAGTAAGAGTCCAGCAGTATATAAGTGTGAGTTTTTGGCAAACACTTCTTAGGAAGACACTGTTCTCTAAAACAAAAACAAAAAGCCACTCTGAATTGGTTCTGACTTTTTTTCTGAAAAATTTTTCTTTTTTTTTTTTTAAGTTTTATTTATTTCTGACAGAGAGAGACAGCATGAGCAGGGGAGGGCCAGAGAGAAAGGGCAGACACAGAATCAGAAGCAGACTCCAGGCTCTGAGCTGGCTGTCAGCACAGAGCCCGACATGAAGTTCGAACCCACGAACCGCAAGATCATGACCTGAGCCAAAGTCGGAAGCTCAACCGACTGAGCCACCCAGGCGCCCCTGAAAAAGTTATTTCTATATCACATCGTCCTTCTGTTTAAAAAGTGTTGCTAAAGGAAAGGTCATTCACAAGTAAACAAATTAACTTTTGGCATCGACATGAAGCAGGGTAACCACACTGTAATCATAGTTGGTTCTCAAAATAAATTCAGCTCCACACACAGAGCATGATTACACATCTAGCACCATGAACTTATTTTATTTTACAAGTGCTTACTGCAGTGTATTTATAAGCCTCAGAAGCCTGCCAAGCAGGAGTGTCACACCAGGTTATATTACTGAGGCCTTACATTAGGCCCCTCTTGAAGTCGTGTTACCCTGAATGGAGGTTTCTTATTTTCAGTAGACAATTCGGGTCCAGTCAGTGCATCAGTCTCTGTGTAGACTGCAGAGGTGAGATGCTAATTTGGTTTAGTTGTGGCTGACGAGGTGTGAGCCTGCATAAATGACCACTGGGTTCTGTCAGAGCCTTGCTTTAATGAGATGGGCAGCTTACATCTGGTATTTCAACTTCAAACTTCAGTCTTTTAAGTGAACTTTTTGTTTGACACGGTTGAGGAATATGCTGGAAATCTATAATTATGTGAAGGTGTTGAAGAAATTTTTTCCATGAATGTTAGTCTATCGTTTGTCCTCATTACTAATTACACAGATGTTAGCAGCATATTTTAATGAGGCATTTTGAGACTTTTCCCCACATGTACTTAGACTATAGTTTTAATATATTCAAAATGCACATAAATATGTAGGAGAAATTATCCTTTAAAAAGAAGGTAGAATTTATGCAAGTGCTAATTAAGATTGGGCATCTTCAAAGGTAAAGCAAATCTTCAGTGATTAAAAGTCGCCCCCCCCATACATCCTAACTGAGCAAAGATCTTTCTCTCTACGTTAGCAAACATTTCATAATGTTTCCCCACAAGTGGAAAGGTAAAATTCAACACCAATCTTACCAGTAATTATTACCAATCAATCTCTGATCTCAGTTTTGCTGGAAAGGAAAGAGGCTGCTCGCAGCACCAGGCCCACATGCATGAAGAAGAAGAAGGATCAGTTGGCAGACCAGGGCTTGGGCCTCCCACCCACCAGAGTGACACACTAGAAATGTGGCAAGTCACTTCACTTCCTGGCGCCTCAGGATCCCCATCTGCACAGTAGGCATAACAATGCTTACTCTGAGAGACAGATGCGAGGATGCATGAGATGGTGTGAATGAGCTCTGTGAGATGGAAAACATTCACCAAATGTAAGGCGCTCTCAGTTGCTATAATAAGCAGCTCTTACAATAAGGTAGATGGCTGTAGGTAACTCTCCAGAAATTATTCTCTTAGGCTCTTAAATCTTAGACTGACTTTTTCTAGAAATGTAATCCAAGGACCACAGATCTTTGAGAAATTCCTTTTAAAAGTGGGGGAGCGGAGGGGGGGCGGGCAGAGTCAATGATTTCTTTCTTTGAAATGCAGTCAATAAATACAGAGCTCCTCTAACTTAGTGAACGAGAACATCTTATTTTTTCTCATTTTCATATAATTTCCACTGTCATCCTGAGAAGCTAGCGCTGAACAAAACACACTGGAGAAAACTGTTAGAAAAGCCTGTTACGTGATTAAAATAGCGAAATGTTTATCAACTATAATACGATGCGATTTTTTTTTTTTTTTGAGGTTCAGAGTAAATGTTGCAGACGCAGCCGTTGCAAAGTATGGAGTGGGCTGCAGGCGCTTTCATGAGCATAGAATCAAGGTTCCCCATACCATTCCCTCCCCCCTACCCCCCCCGCTCCCCCCGCCCGGGAACTGCCCAGCTCACACTGGGAGCGGCACTGACGCTGTGTTTGTGTGCACGGACAGAGGGCCTCAGCGGATCCTGGAAGGAGGGAGGAGGCGTGCCATCCAGCAGCAGCAGCAGCGGCTACTGGAGCTGGAGCGCCCCCAGCGACCAGTCCAACCCGTCTACGCCGTCGCCGCCGCTGTCGGCCGACAGCTTCAAGCCCTTCCGCAGCCCCGCGCCGCAGCCGCAGCCGCAGCCGCAGCCGCAGTCGCAGCCCGACGACGGCATCGACGAGGCGGAGGCCAGCAACCTGCTCTTTGACGAGCCCATTCCCAGGAAGAGAAAGGTTGGTGTGTCGGCCACACCGTCTTGGGGTTGTAGTTGCACGAACGGCCGCCTTCGAAGGGAAGGGCCGGCGTGAGCCTGGGTTCTGCAGTCTTGCTTCCCACGCCCCTTGCGATCTGCGGAAACGCCCCCTGCCCCCCTCTGACGTTCTCTGACGTTTCAAAATAATTTAAGGGTCACGATTAAAAACAGAAATAACCAAATCATTGATATGTTTCTTCCAAGTAGGCATGCCCCCAGACCCCATCCTGTGGACGTTTCAAAGTAAATTAAGGGTCATGATTAAAAACAAAAATGACCAAATCATTGATACGTTTCTTCCAAGTACACCGCTCCCCGACCCCAACCTGTGGTGTAAGAATTAACAACAGGCATCAACCAGATTGCACTTTAGGCTTGGTTTGGTGATTAACTCACTCTGTTCGTGGGACTTCATCTTCTTCGTCTGTAAAGTGAATACTGTATTTTTCTTGTTTCTGCTTCCGTAAGCCCTGAAGGGTTGTTGGGAAGAATATTTTGCGTCTAATTGTATAAAACCGCCTTGAAACATACGTGCAAGCTGACATATAAACCTATGTATGTACTTACATACTACAAATTATATACGTGCCAAAATAAAAGTGAAAAGTGAGACCTAATTAATTGATTTAATAAATTAATTCATTACAGTTTCATTTAGCCCTCACAGCAGTTCTGCTGGTTAGTATTCTTTGACCATTTTGATAGGAGGTTGATTTGATAGGCGTTTGGTTTGATTTGATGATCAAATCATTGATCAGTGATTTGATAGGAGGAGGTTGACAAGCATGAGGTTATGCAGGAGGTTGACAAGCATGAGGTTATGCACCAACTCCCTGCTATCCTGCAGGTGAGAAAGGGCCAGAGCTGCCTTTCAAATACAGGGCTGCCTGGACCTAAAGCTCATATTCTTTTCATTTTCTTCACATACGTTGAAATTATTATGTGTACTCACAATTTTCGAAAAGCATTTCTATTTCATAGAATCGAGAAATGCTACTGCCACATCTAGAAAACTCTTTAATATTTGTTAATCTCCGTATAAATATGAAGTTGTTATTTGATCTGTTGGTATTTTGATTTGTTATTGGTAGCTTCCTTATTAATGACTATTCACAAACAAAAATCCAAAGCAAAGAAAGCCGTGAGGACTGCAATGCAACCTGTTTTTTCCCCACTTCATTCCAAAGAGCAAAACAAAGAGATGGCATCGGTCCAACTGTCCCTCCCTGCTTCTCTGTTGGCATCATTCAGCATGTGTAACAGTAGAGGTTGTACAGCTCGCTCTCCACCCAGAGAACAGGGCATTTGTGTGGTCTCCTGTCCATCCCAGAGGCAGTGACATGGACAGTTGCTGTTTTACACACCAGTCTCCTAGGTGGGGGGTGAGGCTGGAGTGGTCCCAGCATCCTGTGGGGCCCCAGGGACTGAGTCTTCACTTGACTAGTCAGGGATACAGGCGGGCACTTGGATCCTGCAGGCAAGACAGCCATGTGGACCCGAGCTCTTGTCCTCGCGCTTCAAGCTGCACAGACTTTTCTGTCTGGGGTCACCTGAGTGTGTGGTGCTGGCTGTCATCAAGCACGTCTTGGCACGGTGGCAAGGACTCCCAGCCCAGGGAACCCCCACCTTGCCAAGCACGGCTGAAAGCCTGCCCCAGCCTTTTGTTTCTAATGGAGCCACACAAGCCAAAACTCACACTCTTGCATTACGTTAAGTTGCACGGGTCAGACTTGTACTTAAGGTCTGTCGGCTTCGACTAAATTAGGGGATAGTCAAGTCACAAAGTAAAAAAAAAGCTTCATTACAAAGTAGCTTCATTTGAAGACAGACCCACTCTGCAGGGTGCTGGATAGTTGGAGTAAATGCATGACTAAGAACCATGTTCTTCCTTCTTTCTTTATGATTTTTCCCTCTATTCAGACCTGGATTTCCCCAGGGTGGTACTCCCCTGCTTGCTGACGCTCATCGTCACTAAGTTTTAAATCAGGGATCTTACAGAGACCAAGTCGTTGCCTTTTTATAACTTAAAATCACTTTGAATAGTGAGAGTAATGAGGATGTGGGATGGTTGCTGTTTATTTTTTATTTATTAAGTGAACCAGTATTTCTTGCGTGTCCATCAGGCACAATGCACCACGTCCTGAAATTAAGACGCAGCCACCGATGGTAAGGTGGGAAGTTGGGTGGGTGGACACTGATGTGTAAAGAGGCAATAATGACAAGGGGTGAAAAATGCTGTGGTAGAAACACGGCAACTGTGATGCAGTTATTGTAGAGTTTTTAAAATCTTTTTTTTTATTTTATTTTTTTTACTTTTTAATGTTTTATTTTATTTCTGAGAGAGAGAGACGGTGTGAGCAGGGGAGTGTCAGAGAGAGAGAGACACAGAATCCGAAGCAGGCTCCAGGCTCTGAGCTAGCTATCAGCACAGAGCCCGACATGGGGCTCGAACCCACGAACCGTGGGATCGTGACCTGAGCCGAAGTCGGACGCTTAACCAACTGAGCCACCCAGGTGCCCCGAGTTTTTAAAATCTTTTAAAGATTTCTAAGAGTTAATTTGTAGAGTTTTTAAAATCTTTTAAAGATTTCTAAGAGTTAATTTGCATAGTCCATTAGACAATATGTTCTAGTCGGTGAGATGCCTCATATCCATTTGAGACCATGGGCAGTTGTGATGGTCAGATGTTCTGTGGGGACTGAGAACCTTCTAGATCACTATTTTTCCAAACTGCAGGTCTCAATCCACTAGTGGGTTATGAGTCAATTTAATGAGCTGTGAATAGCACTTCTTTAATGTAAAGGAGAGAATAGGATGCATTGTACTCAATCAGGGTAAGCGTTGTTTCTTGATGTTTTGTTTCAATTACACCCCTACCTGGGTAATGTACAAAAATGTATCTCTTACTGTGGTTCATGGTTTAAGAAGTTTGGAGGCCTCTGTTCTATGTTATAAAGAGATAACATGGTAGGTGATAAACAAAGTAGCACTGAACAGAAATCAAAAGATCCACATCCTAAACTCATCTTTACCACCCTGAGAACTTAAGGGTGTCTCCCTTTTGATTATCAGCCTCTTCATCTATAAACCAGGCAAACAGGTATTATCAGACCTCTCTCAGGATAATCATGAAGATTAAATATGACCATAAGTAGGATGGATGTACAAGCCCTAAAACCCCACGTACGGGAATGTAGCATCATAGTCACGGACATTTTAGACCCTCAACAAAGGGGGAAGAACATTCCCTAGATGGAATTATGAAGCAGTGATCCTGATCTTTCTCCTCCTTATGGGAACTGTCTCAACTCTTCTCCTACCTCCCCCACACATGGACATCTCACTCTCACCTCCTGTGGTGATCCATGTTCCTCTTACGGAAAGAGGAAGAGAGTATGGGATGTGTTGCCTAGACAAGGCATTATCTTTTGGAGAAACATTTGCTGATAACAACCGTATTTGCGTGTTTAGTTACAGTACAACATGCTTTTAAATGCAGCATTTCATTTAGTCATCACAAAATTCCTTGGCATAGTCATATCCCCATTTTGCAGAAGAAGCTCTATTAAAGTTATATGAATTTCCCAAAGTCCTGTAGCTTGTAATGTGGCAGAGGTAAGATCAGCCTAGCTGAAATAGCAAAGATGAAATTCTGCGAGCAAATTCAAGGAATCCACATTTCCCTCTGCCCACAGAGGAGAATAACATGGAAAGAAAATAATCAGATGCAGTTACAGCCAATATTATTTGGCAGGGTGGGACTGGGGTGCAGAGGGTCCAGAAAGAAATCCAAGGGTAGCGAACAGAACTCAGGCTGTCTGCCGCAGCCCACTACTTCCTGAATGAAGTACCCATTGCTCTTAAGAGGACCGTTAGCCAAGGAAGTGGAAATGGAAGAAACAGAAATGAAAGACTTCTTTCTCCTGGCTCTGGAGATCAGCCAGCCAACTACCTCAAGCCCAATGCTAGCAGAATTTTTTCTCTGGGATTTCAGACAAACAGAGAGTTCTGCCATGCTCAGAGAAAAGCCAGGACCCAGACTATAGGGGACATGCAGTTCCGGTCACGACCACAAGGTGATGCAGTGACCCTAACTACCGATGACACTCTGGGAGCCTTCGGAGAAAACAATTTCTCCAGTCAACCGGCAATCCCAGAAGACCTCTAGAAAATCAGAAAGTGCTGATAACTACTTATGAATATGCTTTTTTCCATGTCAGGTCTCTAATTCTGTCAGAATCTAAGTTTGTCCATCCCTGAACAGGATAAAACAGTTCAGGCTCTGGAATTAGCACCCCAGCTCAATACTTATGTATTGAGCAAATCGTTTGACTTCTCTAAGCCACGGTTTCCTCGTTTGTAAAATACGGATAATGATAACACCCCATTGAGGAGGTCGTTCTGAATGCTGGCTGCTAGTACTTTGCTTTCCTTTCTACCCATTTGACAACTGACTGAGAAGAAATTTGAGAAGCATGGATGTGGAGAGAAGGGGGTGCTCACCTCCATTCTCCATCCTGTCCCCACATGGACTGTATCAGTATTGCTACAGCTCAAGACACTGGATCCCTCAGCCACTTCAGCCACCTTGGACTTATTTAGGGCTAATGGGAGAGGCGAGCCTACGCTCAGGTGAGGGGTGAGAGCAAAAACGACAGGGGCAGAAATCAGGGGCCTTACAAGGAAAGCTGACTCGGGACTCCATACATCAGCAGCAACTCAAAGACGATCACTGCATTCCAGGCTTCATTATTTTCGTTGATTTTACAAGTGTGTTGACCACAAACCATCTTACCCGGGGACTAGGGAGAATCCCACGTCAGAGTAAAAAGTGCTGAGTGATCATAAGGTGCTCCAGCAATAGTTGTGCCTAGTAAACAATGAATTAATCACTTGCTCCACTCTGCATTTTCAGTCTTTCAGAACCAAAAAAGCAGTGAGTCACTTTAAATTGTGAATGACTGCTCTGAAAAGAAAACA